GGAAGAGGCAGAATTTTTTTTTTCTGTTTTCCTCCCCAAAAGGTAGGTGCGTCTTATAGTCCGAAAAATACGTTATATTATGTAATTTACTGCACCAAATGAAGATGGAAATCACTTTTTGTTTTCTTTCTCCTCAATTTATACACTCTTTCTTTCTTCCCACTTTTCCTTTCCCTTTTTTTGAATTGTCTTTATTTCTATTTCTATTTTATATTAAGTAAAAACTTTAAAAACTATATTTTTAAAGCAATTTTTGTTTAAATACCTATATGTACTGCTTCCAGCCAGAGTAAGATGAGTGTATAAATATGGTCAAACTAGCTTTTAAAACTTGTGTTACATGAATGTTTTCTCCAGAATATTATTTCAATTAAATTTCATCGTTTTAATGTGGACCTACTATATAGTATTGATACATTTTATATGGCAGAACTATAATGACATTTCAGAGAAAGATTTTATGATTGCACCTATAAAATGTAAGTGCAACACCTTGAACATTCAAAATATAATAAGAAGGATTACGTTCATATTATTCAATATTATAATAATATATCAGGGGACAATAAAATAGAGCAGGGGTCCTCATCCCCCAAGCCACACCCTGGTAGCAAGCCCTGCTGCCGCCGGCTGTCTACAGAGAAGTTGGGGACTGCCGGAATAAAAAACAAAGAATTGGCAAAAATCACAAAGTGTCACGTTTCTTAAAACTGACGTTGAAAGGTTCTAGCAAATGGCTATGGTGGTACATAGGCACACTGTCTGCCATATTAGAAAAAATCTTGGGTGGCACTTATACAAACTCCAGATTGACAAAAAAAAAGTCTGTCAATTGCTAATGGCCACGTTGCTTAGCTACATACATATACTACCATGATACATTACAACATCCTACGTTCTTGGTAAGAACTTGGATGTTTACAAAGGTCAACAGCTAAAGTACTGGCAGCTGTGATTTCACATCATTGTGAACACATATGCTCAAATGGCTCCTTTGCTAGATGCACATTCTTAATCCCCTTTGTCTAGAGTTGTATAATTGTTTTTAATCATACTTACTTTTTAATCTGGATTTTATATACTTTATTTATTGTTTAATTGTTGTATATGACCTAAAATGTGTTTTGCGAAATGGGCAACTATAAAACTTGATTAATAAATACTCTTCATAGCGCTATTATAACTTCCTTAGGTAGATCACTAAAATGTATATTTCCCAGAGCTTTAAGGACACGGAGAGCACTGAACAAGTGGCAGAACAGCTAAAAAATATCAAGATTGATGAAAACCAACCCAAAAAGACAAAATCTGAAGAAGTTGTTGATGAGGTAAGTTGGGAAGTACCTCAATAATGTTTTTCAATTTCTGCTAGGTGAGTTAATAAAAAAACCATATACAAATGAGAAAGGACATTAAATAATACAACTAACGTAGTTGGGATATGTAAGACAAGTACTTTTGTCTGTTGAAAATAATGCTGTAATTATAAAACATATTCTACAAAATAGATCAATACTGTATAGCTATTTAAATTTAAGTTCTGTGATAGTTGTTTCTGATTTTGAATTGGTAGTGATTCTATTATGATCATTTGATCTTTTGGAGTTCTCACTTCTGAAATCAGTTGCATTTTCCATATATGTAGCAACGTGATCAACTCAAATTTGAACACATACTTCTTTTAAAATAAAATTTATATAATCAAGCTTAATGGCATATGTCACAAACTTCCATATATATTTTTAAGAATAAAGTTTATTGTAGAAGACATTTCTGGATATGTGTGTGCAAAATGATATCATTCTTAGTTTTACCCTTTTGGGGACCAGCTATAAAGCCATTTGGAAATAATTTTCAGTTCAATAGTGATCTTATAATTGAGCTATTAATTAGCAGTTTATCGAGATGCTAAAAAAGATACTGTTGCAAATAAATAACTCCTGCCATAGGAGGGACAGAATTCCTATAAAATGTATATTTCTCTGAGTGTATGAAAAGGAAAGTGGACTGTATATCATTCTAAAGATATACTATCTTTGAACAACTTTGAACATCTGTATTTTTAAAATAGTGAAGTTTTACTGTTTTCTTTCTTTCCACTTTTATTGCAGACTTCCCCAAAATATACCAAGTCAATTCTGAAAAAGGGGGATAAAACCAACTTTCCAAAAAAGGGGGATATTGTTCATTGCTGGTATACAGGCAAGCTGCAAGATGGAACCGTTTTTGACACTAATATTCAGTCAAGTAAGTGCTTAGACAACTCTTTAAAAAAAAGTTTGCAAAGCTTTTAAAGATTCAAGTAGTCTTCATTGAAGGGCAGGATGATAGAGCTGCAGTGTCTCTCAAACAATAAATTGGAGCCGAGTAAGAGTCTAAACGCTCTACATTTTGCATTTGTTCAACCCATCTTGGAAAAAGATGGAAAAGCTTAAAAATATATTTTATTCCACTTTTATTATTTTTATAAATATAATTCAAGGTGGCAAACACACTTGATATTCTTTCCTCCTCTGATTTTCACAGTAGCAACCCTGTTTTAACAGTTTGTTAAAACTGTAAAGGGAGTTGGGCTGAGTTGGCTCTCATGCCTAAGATAGTACTAGAACTCAAGTTTCTTGATTTTTAGTCTGGTGCCTTAAAAATCTACAGCAGGCTTTAGGCTTTACTATTCTTGTAAATCAAGTCTGGTCTTCCCTACAGTGTATTTTGTAACCAAAAAGGAGAAAGATGCAAGATTTGAACTTGGTAAGCATTCCCTGTTAATCTGATAGTTTGCAACCAAATCTATCTTTCAGGTTCAAAGAAGAAAAAAGCATCTAAACCACTGAGCTTCAAAGTTGGTGTTGGAAAAGTGATTCGAGGTGTAAGTGTGCTAATGTGGGGTGACTGAGTGTGTCAGGTTCTCATACTCTTTCATTATTAGAAAATAGTTTTGGTTCTGCAGCTGTTCATCCATCTGTCTGTTTCTTTCAATAAGAGGCAGCATTGGGTATATGTGATCCCATGAACCCTTTAGATTCTATCCTGCCAGGAATGAGAGAGACCACCATGGGAAGTCTGCCCATCATCTATTTCCTGCGATCTTGGACCAGTGTCCAATTGTCATAATTAGAGGTTTTGGGAGAGGGGTGTGTCATACATACATCATCACATCCGTGATGTATATCATATATTGCAGATGTCACTTCTAATACTTTCCTTAGTATTAGAAGACAGAATACTGTAATTTTTAGCTTTGTAAATCTGTATTCATGACCTGTGATATTGCGGTCTCTGGGTCCAATTAATTGAGTCCAATCTACTTAATTTTCAGATGAATTTTGATAAAAGTATCTTATACTACTTCTAAATAATATCTAGCATGTGTTGTGTGGAAATCTTAACCCCAAAAAACCCCTTCAGCAGCAGTGGAGAATGAAAAAGAATCTGCTTTTGTTAAAACTAACCAAAATCTTTTCTATTTTTCAGTGGGATGAAGCCTTATTAACAATGAGCAAAGGAGAAAAGGCTAATTTGGAAATTGAGTCGGAATGGGCTTATGGGAAGAAAGGACAACCTGATGCCAAGTATCCTGACATTTATCTTTATGTAGATTGTAAAAACCATTTTTCCTATACAATAGAGATTAAGAGAGCATTTTTCCCCAACAATTTTAGTGTTGCAGAAGTCCCCATTGTTGTTCATAATATTGTCTTAAATGACAGATACATCAATGGGATAGATCTTCATTGACAGATCCCTAACTGTCAAAAGAACTGGAAAGACTTCCCAGGGGCGGGGAGGTATGGAGGTGGGACAGAATAAGGCAAAGTTCAAGTGGTAATCCTCAGTACAGGGGAGGTATGGAGGTGGGACAGAATAAGGCAAAGTTCAAGTGGTAATCCTCAGTACACTCAAAGCAGAAGGGGGGGGGGCTATGTCTGATTTAATGATGTTATCTTGTTGCCTAATCTTCATGACCTAGTCAGTTATTTTTAATTGTCTACAGTAAAGATTTGATTGGGGGGAGAGAGGGAGGCTTCTTAAATTGAAGTATCTAAGGATTAATAGGTAGAAAAGAAAAAATGGGCATTGGTGGGTGGTTACCCTGTTTCCCTGAAAATAAGCCCTCCCCAAAAATATTGTAATATAGCAGCAGCCATGAGGTGACCACGCTCGCTGCCTCCTGCACCTCAAAAATAGTAAGACCTGCCCAAAAATAAGGCCAAGTGCTTATTTCGGGGGTCAAAAGAAAATAAGACCCTGCCTTATTTTCAGAGAAACACAGTAGAATACTTCAGATTTTCAATTTCATGCTTAACATTTTCTAAGGGGCATTGTTTCCACAATGCCTAGTTACTTTTCATTTATGATCATTACAGGTAGTCCTCGATTTGGGACAATTGAGCCCAAAATTTCTGTTGCTAAGTGAAACATTTGTTAAGTGAGGTTTTCCATTTTACAACTTTTCTTGCCAGTTAAGTGAATCACTGTAGTTGTTAGTCAAACTGCTGTTAAGTGAATCTGGCTTCACTGTTGACTTTGTTTGTTAGAAGGTTGAAAAGGGGAACATATGATCTTGGGACACTGCAGCCATCACAAATGAGTCAATTGCCAAATGTCTAAATTTTCATCATGTGACCATGGGGATGCTACAATGGTGAGAAGTGTGAAAAATGGTCATAAATGACTTTTTTCAGTGCCTTTGTAACTTTGAACAACTAAATTAACTGTCATAACTCAAGGACTATCTGTAATCGCTTGCCAAAGCTCCCTTCTGAGTTATACACTGAACAAGAATAACTTGCAACTTAGAAAAAAATTACACAAACCTTTAACTATAGGTACATTTGCAACCACAATCTACTATATAAGAATTTCCTTAACTTCTATTTCAGGATTCCACCCAATGCAAAACTTTTCTTTGAAATTGAACTGGTAGATATTGAATGATGTATTGTCGCCTCTTCAGTCTTGAATATTTGTGAAGACACAGTACTTCCGATTTCAGGGAAATGCAAACGTGGCCTTTTATCTGATAGATGGAGGAGTCAAAAGACTCTTATTGCAATTACAGTACAATGTCTGTATTACTAAAAAGTAGTTTATACGTGTTTTTGACTGATGTTTTGTAGCAAGGACTTGGAAAAAATACTCTAATTTATTAAGCACTTTAAGACATTTTAAGGTCAGGGTTTCTGATTTGCTGGGTTATAATTTCTATCCCTTTCAACTCAAATTACCACATTTTACTAATTTATTTTAGTCTATCTGATTACACAAAGAATGGGGGGTTACGTTTAAATCACTTATCTTAATCTTGCAGGCATACAATATCAGAATAGCATGGAGTAGGGTGGTAAATTCAACTAGAGCATACATATCCAGTCAGATGTACACCGTGTTGTATTCCAGGATGTTCTTATTTTGAAAGCAGATTAATATAAGAAAAGAGTACAAGTAAGAATTTTTGGACCAAATGCGCCACTGGGCTTTTGTAACTTATAGTAACAATTTCCATACCTGCAAAATTTCAAAATCAATGCATAAAGGAAACCTGGAACTAAATAGCAGTACAGGTGAAACCATCAGAAAGCTATGTTCCAAAATAAATTTGATAACCAGACTCCTAAGGAAAAGCTACTGTTCAGAAAAATTCACAATTTGATTTTATTACAAAAAGGCATTTTAAACAAAAAACTAAACTTACACATGAAAATTCCAATACAAAATCCATCCTAAGACAGAGCATGGTTCTAGTAACACACTTCATTTTAGTCACTCAAAGAGATACCCTATACATTATGCATCCTCATCTGTTAACATTTTTCTAAAAGCTCGCAGCTTTTGGGTGCTGCAATTGTAAACTGGTAAAAAAAAAACAGATGCAGGAAAACAGATGTGGGATTTTGAAAATATTCAAGCACATTTTGCTGCAGAAGAAAAGGGAAGTTTTATCTCCTGGCTTGGGTAATATCCAAGATTGCAGGGGTAAAATTTGGTATTAATATATGTTAATTGTTGCAAATTAACTTTCCCAATGAATCATCAATACTACTTCATATAATCATTTGATAATTTTACTATTGAGAAAGTTAATAGCTCAGTAGATTTGAATACAGCAAGATACCAATATGAGTTTGTCACAAGAAAAATGTGAAAATCAACTCATCATACATGCAAAAAAGACAAGAATCACGTGACAGTTTGTTCACATCCCTATTTCTTTCTCTTTTACAAAAGAAAAGTCTTAAGAAAACATTGTGAAACTCCATTTGTTGTTAAATTGTTCTGCTCAAGTTGAAGATGATTGATAATATTGTCCATAATTCCATGCATTTGAGTAATTGTACTAAAAGGAAAAAAAAAAATAAGAGAAAATTAATACTCTCTAGTTAATGCTGTAAACTCTAGTACTTCCCAGTATAAAACAACTAGCAATTATTAAAATAACTTGAAAACTAAAATTCTCAAGATATAAAATACAGATAGCCCTTTCTTAATAAGATAATTTGAGATTTTGACAACTCACTTGATAAAGCTGGTGTCACGATGGCAGTTCCAGTTGCCATTGTTATGTGAATCGTGCAGTCACAGCATCCCAGGATTCCCATTTGTGACCTACTGTAAGTTTCCCCATTGAGTTTGTTGGAAACTGGCAATGAAGATTGCAGATGACAATCACATGACCTTGGGATGCTGCAGCCATTATAACTGCATGCTAGTTGTCAAGTATCCAAAGTGCAACCAGAAGGAATGGTTTCAAGTCCCCTCATTTAGAATTGCTACTACTTTGAAAGGCTGCTGAATGAATGATTGCTGAACAAGGATTACTACCACAATTGGGCTGTAAATCTCCAGGGAGCCATAGATGGCAACCATGTGATACAAACCCTCTTTGTGGCCATCTATTGGTCATACATATCCTTACAGGCTGGATTTGGAAGCCCTCAATTATTGCAAAGCCTGTACTAAGGTATGTAGACCCACTCTTGAAGTATTATTAATCTGGACTACATTTTTAAAATTAAATAATTTCAGTTGCAGGGAAACAGGCAGAATTTAAGTATTTAGTCAAAAAACTTCCAGATAAATGATGCTCACCTGGTACCAGGCATTGTAGGCTGCCTGATTTGCTTGCATATCTCCATCTGCTACTTGTCCAGACATATCATCACTGTGAACTCGTTTCTCATCTGGTTCTTCACAGCTGCAAAAATAGTTTGTGTCACTTCTTTATGAAGAAAGACCCTTGCAGAATTTTTGGTTTTTCCCCCCAATGAGAAAATGCTATACTTTCCTGCATGTTGAACTTGGCCATACATTTCCTATTGTAAATTGAAAAGTAGTCACTTAATCAAAATGTAACCTCTAAGTGGAGGGTGCCAAATGCAGGGTTCAGCATTGAAGCCTTTTTCAGAGGCTTCCCTCAATCTCAAGTAGAAAGGTGGTGAGGTTTATTTGGCACAACATTCAAAGTTTCTCCAGAGTGTTACAAAATTACTGAACAATGAAATTTAAACTGAAGACTGGAATTCAATATCCCACACTACACATACACTTTGTACATTAAATATATCATGCAACATTTAAAGTCTTAAATAGATGTATGGGTTAAAACAAACTTTCTTTAATTTTCTTCAAGAAAATAGATCATTTTTACCAATTCAGTTGAAGAAATTATGGGAGGCCTTTTGAGTTTCCTATTTAATCTTAAATGACATCTGCAAAGAAGTCCAAATTATTATCTTTCCTTCAACGGAATTAAAGATTGTGTATGTAAAGGGCATACAAATACATTTTACTACTGCCTATACAATTATATGCTTAAGTAAAAATATCTTTAAAGTGTAAACTGTTCTATTCATTAAAATGATTATAGCAATATCTGTGATCGCATCAAGGAAAAAAAGTATTTTTCTTCCTCATTTTCTGAAAAAAATGATAAGACAGTCCTTGACTTGCAACAGGTCACTTAGATCCAAGTGAGCTACCTATGGGCTATTTCAAAGTTCTGACGGTGCTCCACACCTGTGGTCAGTTGACTACACTTGCTGGGCAACCAGGCTACATTTACAGCCATTTGCAGTGTCCTGCAGTCATACATTTTACAGCAGCTTTGTCAAAAACAAGCATTTTCAGTTTCCAGCAAAACCACATCATAGAAAACCATTGTTTTGCTTTAATGACTGCTGCAAAAAATAAAATCTAGTCATTCACGTGACCAACTTGTTTTATAACCATCACAAGTTATAACCATGACGGGCAGGCTCCATTGTCATAACTCAAGGACCATCTGTGCACAATTCCTCTCAATATATACTTCATTTACATTTAATTAGCTCAGACATATACTGACATTAGTAAGGTTCCAAAACTATAACAGTAAATAACTGCTATGTTTAAAAAAGCAATCCAGAACTCGTAGCTAGAAAGAAAATACTTGTACCCATTCTCTGATTTTCTTTTTAGGCATTCTTGTTCCTTTAGAAGGGCTTGATGTTCTTCATAAGCATCCAAAAGCCTATCAAAAGGAAAGAAAAAAGGGAAACTGAGATTCCTACTCCAGACATATTCTGCAACAAACATAACTCCCAACACTGGTGTTTCATATACTGCTTTCACTTTCGGTCTATACAGCTGGTTTTTTAAAGTACTGTTATAGTCAGAGTAAAATGGAAAATAAATTTTAGGATTGGAATTTCTGGGAGAATGTATAAAGATTGAGCTTGATCATCTTGATCTCTGTAGGCAACAAACCATTCATTAACCCAAAAACCAAAGGCTGCAATCACTAAAAATAAATCTTACTTGTTCACATCCAGGCCAAAATCTTCAAGGAATTCCACTTTGCGCTGAGAAAATACAATCCTAATTTTTATAGGCAATGTTCCATTGATAGCGCTGTCAAAACACAAAATGATGTTCTCCTCATTCTGCTTTAGATCTCCACTGTACTCGATTTCCAACAAATTGAGATACAGTTTTGGATTATCCTGTGCAAAAAGCAACATAAATTAAGGTCCATTTAAGTTCCCACGTATTAACGTACCATTGTGAATGGCCTGGTTTGTATTTTAACAACTATGCTTAATCTACAGGTTTCCTCCAATTTCTAAATGTACATCAGGTAACAAACTTTGGCAATAAACCTGGAAACATGATTTAAATTCTGGCTTAATATGTGTGAATGAGAATCTTGAGTAACTCAGTATTATGTTGTTCATTTCATTTTGAAATGATTCCACAACTCTAAAATTGACAGAATGTATCTACCGTAATTATCTTATGAAATTGAAAACATGGCTTGAGTTCATAAATCTTATCATGTATTAATTAAATTTCTATGCTGCCCGATTCCCAACAAGTCTGGCAGTTTATGGATTAAAAAAAAAAATATCCAAAACCAATACAATAATAAAACAAGGAAAAAAGAATGGCAAAAAAATGGTCATATTCAATACCCAGAAAGGTTTTCAATGATTTTTATTGAACAGTTATTCCAGGCCCTTCAAAATTTTTACAAATTTTGTGCTATGTAAAACTAGGTGTAGGTTACAACCATGATTTGCAACTTAACCATATATAAACTCAGTATGGTTTTTCAGTATACCATAGCTTATATATATATAAACTCAGCCTATGTCTCTGAGGTATGTAAATCCATTAGCTGTGATTCTTGGGGAACTGCATGTCAAAATGCCTGCTATGTTCCTGAAGAGTTCCTGCTCAATTCACATTTTACACAAAAAGCAAATTTCCTAGTTCAGTTTCTCCAGTATGAGGAAAGAGCCGGATCAGACGCCAGACGCCAACAAAACAACAGAAAGGCAGATAAAGTTTATGCAGCCCTATGCTACTTACTAAGTGAAATTATTAGAGGATACAGTGCAAGAAGACAGCTTTGTGGGAACACTGCACAAATATGCTTTTTGCAACAGGTTTCAAAATTACAGTAACAACCTGAGGCTAAAATATTAGGTGTCTTAATAGTAGGAATGTTTCTTGACAACTGAGCCAATCCTTTGGGAATATGTATCCTAACAAGCCCTCTATCCTACTTCAGCAATTTAGAAAATTAAACGACTCAACTCATCAGAATATACCGTACTTCACTAAGAGAAAGCATACTGTAGCAGAAATTCTTTATTCATTATAAATGTACACTTGCAAGAACTGGTTGATGTACCATAATCAAAACTTTTTTTTAAAAACCCTCCCTTTTTACAACCCTGTGTTCAGGATAAAGTCAAAGGTGACTGGATAGAACTGAGCGTTTACCGATTGGATGCTCTGCTGCCTATGTGGAGTTTGCATCAGATTTTTTTTTTTTTATTATTATTTTTGCATAGGAGAAAAAAATCTGCTGCCATCTACAATTGAACTCTCAGCCTTCTGAGCGGGAGGCGAGAATTTTCACCATTAAGCCACCATGCTGCTCTCAAAATCAAAACATGGTGCCTACTGAAAATACAGGGCCTTGGAAACTTATGTTTTGTCCATACATGTCCACATGTTTTGTAGCATCTGAATGGAATGCTGTGCATTAAATAAAGCTCCACAATATTCAACGTTCTAAAGGGAAATATCAGAGGAACTATCTCAAATATGGTCTCAAGAGCATACATATTTCATAGAATTATAGAAGTGTCTGGCTGAAAGGGATGTTGGAGGCCTTCTAGTCCAGCCCTCCTGCAACCAAGCCAGGAATCCTTATATTATATTATCCCGCACAAATGGTTGTCCAAAGTTTTCTTGAAAATCTCCAGTAATGGAGCACCCACAACTGTGTTAGGCAAGCTGTTCCACTAATTGATTGCTCTGTCAGAAAATTCTTCTTACTTTTAGGTTGAATCTCTGTGACTAGCTTTTGCCCATTGCTTCTTGTCTTGCCCTCAGATGCTATGGAAAATAAACCAGTGCCCTCTTCCCTGCGACAGCTCTTCAAGTTATTGGAAGACTGCTATCATGCCTCCCCATAGCCTCCGTTAGACTAAACACCCTTGTTCCCTTAGCTGTTCATCATATGCTTTAGCTTCCAGACCTTTTATCTTTTTTGCTTTTCTTTGCACTTTCAAGGGCCTCAACATCTGTGGTAATCTCAACTGGACGCAATATTCCACTGGTACAGTATGGAGTGGTACTATCACATCCCATAATCTTGATGCTATCCCTGTGTTGATGCAGTCAGGGAGTGCACTGGCTTTTTTGACAGCTGCAGCACCCTGCTGGCTCATACTTAAGCAGTGATTCATCAAGATCCCTCTCAGTTACTACTGTTGAGCCAGGTATTTCCGATTCTACACATTTGGTTTTACCTCCCTAAGTGCAGGACCTTACTTTTCTTACCACATAATCCCGCTCCAGTGGTGGGTTCCGGATCCTGTTGTAACCAGTACGCTGCAACGGGGCCCAGCATCCACCATGTGCACGCATACCTACCGCCTGTGATGCTCCAGCTGCTTGGTGGAGCATTGCGCAGGCGCCATACGCTCTGTGCACCTATGCAAAAGCCCCAATTGGCTCAAATACAGGTAAGGAGGATGAGCGGGTGGGCCCTCCGGAGCACCATACTGGAATGATATCTGGTGCTCCCAGCAGGCAGAGATATGCCTGTACCGGGGCGTACAGGTTGTATTCCACCACTGTTCCACTCTCTCAAGAACATTTCCTGCTATAATACACTATATTGCCAAAAGTATTCGCTCACCCATCCACATAATCAGATTTAGTTGTGAGCGAATACTTTTGGCAATATAGTGTATGTACAGTTGCACTTTTATCTTGAAATCCGCATTGCTTCTTTTGAACACAATCACTTCAGGTACAGTGATGTACCATTTTGGGCCACATTATACTACCAAGATATGGCATCACTATGCTTTCAATGCCAGATAATTCCCATGCCAGAATACTTTTCTTTGGAAGGAAAGCCTGAAATTTAGGGAGAAACCAAACAAATGGTAAGCCAAGCAACATCAGGTTAGAGGGACTGTTGTCTCCATACTGCAGCTACACGCATTGCAGAGTTTAAAGGAATCATCACAGTTGCCAGCTATAATGATACATACAAATGAACAGTTGGGAAATTACATACCCTGTCTCTATCAATGGCTTCCAAAAGAACTTTCCTGGCTTTTGGAAGACTCTTCTGGATTTTGAAAAGGTGTCGAGCAAGCTTTACAGCAAAGAAAGAGGCTTCATAGTTTGATTTGGCATTTTTCACAGCTTCCTGAAGGAGGTGTTCAGCTTCCTCCATGTTTCCATGTCTCCGTTCTAAACTAACTCTTCGTAAACGAATCATGGCCAATCCTGAAACATTCTCCTCAAAGATCTTCAGAATTCTTCTGGCTTCATTGATATTCCCTAAAAGTAAGAGAGAGAGGATGCATGGACTTAGAACTGCAAATTGACACAAGCTGATCAAATATTTTAGGATATCTCTCCATCTCAACATCAAGATTACACCTTGTCCTTTCTTTTTTACTCTTGATGGGGGATATTATACAATGCATATTAGTTGGATTTTCAGCAGTCAAGAATCTCTACTTTACAGAGCCACATGGGGGCTCAGAAAGAAGATAGACAAATAAAGGAAGCAATGGGTACTCTAAGTAAGCTTGAATACAGAACCACACTTCATTTGTTAGTTTCAAAAACCTAATTTACAGAAATAGCCTTAACTGGAGCAGAATTTTAAGTAACCAAGTACAGGTAGTCCACAACTTACAACCATTCATTTAGTGATCATTCAAAATTACAACAGTGCTGAAAAAAAGTGACTTATGACTGTTTTTCACATGATGGTTGTGGCATCCCTGTAGCCACGAAACCGAAATTTAGACACCTGGCAACTGGGATGCAGCTATGACATTTACAATGTGCCGGGGCCACATTTTGTGACCCTCTAACAAGCAATGGGGAAGCCAGATTCACTTAATAACCGTGCTACTAATTTGAAAACTGCAGTGATTCACATGACAACTGTGGCAAGAAAGGTCATAAAATGAGACAGAGTTCATTTAACTGTTTCTCAGCAGTGGAAATTGCTCATTTTGAGCAATTTGAGGTCAATTTGGGTTCAGTTATGGTTATAAGCTACCTGTAATGAACTTTCTACGCAACTTTTTCTACCCTGAAGGGTATTATCTTTGCCTAGGTTGCTCTTCCCATTGGCTCCGGGAATATTTTTTTTTGTTGCACCAAATAATAGGTCTATTTTTTGGCAACAACAGGACACGTGAAGGGTTTGGGGTCCGGAGAGGGCAAAAAGAGGACCCGTGGGGAGTTCCTGGAGGCTGAAAACGGGACATGCAGAGGGTTTGGGAGGCCTGCAGAGTGCTCCTGGGGGCCGGGGAGGGCAAAAACTGGATGCGCAGAGGCCCAAAATTATTTTTTTGCTTATTTTCCTCTTCGAAATCTAGGTGCATCTTATAGTTCAAAAAATACAATACTTGTGGAGCAGAAATTGGAATTTGGTTCCGTTTCACATAGAATTAGTTTCATAGGAGGTTTCAGATGAGTTTTAAGAACTAAACCTGCAGGGTCTCAATAAAAAATTGATGGGGGACCATCTTGCCAACCTGCATATGTTGTTCAATATCACCTTGATTAAAAAAAAAAAACCTAGCTACATTTCTTGTGGAATCAGACCCATTGGGGTCACCTTTTATCAATTAGCTAATCAGGTTCAGATTCACCTGGTAGTCACAGAGGGCACCTTATAAACAAAGACAAGTGACTGGAATGATGGTGCCAGTCCTTAGTTCTTTTGAGGCAGAGTCTGACTGCTCTCCAGATATACAACCTGCAATACTGCTTCTGTGATAGCACAGAAGATTTAGAGGAAGAAGCTCTGAAGGATATACTATAACCTGGACGTGAATGTGAGATCTCTATCGAGGCCCATGGATTAGAGAAAAATCTGTTTGAATTTATGGCCATGAGAAAAGCCATTTTCCAACAAATGCATTTACTAAGCAGAGAAGTTGGAAAGGCCAATACACTAGTTGTGGGGTTATGAAGAGTTGTTAATCCTGAGAAACTGAAAGGATCCAATCCACCACTGAAATCTATGATGTAACATGCTAAATAATTAATATCCATTTACAAAAAAGGCCAGTATCTAAAGAAATGATCTTTGTGCCACTTCCTTTTCTCTTTGGCAGAAAATGTACCAGGTGATTTCAAGGAGCTTGGATATTGATGCTCCATGGGAGGCCAGTGTGGTATGGATGGAGACTGAATCAGAATCTAGAGTCTAAAAGAACTGTTTATTTCCACTGGGCAGTTATAACTAGCTCAAATCTGGATGAATCTGGCTCCTTGGCCACATTTAGTCTGAATGGTGGATGCAAGACTTTGACGGCAATCAATAGTTCTATGGAGTTCGTGTTTTAGAAGGTGTTTGGACCATGGAATTACTGTCAAGCAAAGAGAAAAGTGGTAGCTGTCACCTTGATTATTAAAGCACCAGCCCTTGAGAACATGGATCATTATGTTTGTCACAATGTGTAGATAATCTCCATCTTTTGAGATCATAGTCTCTAAAACAGATGCTTAAGCATCCACTAATGGGGCCCTTAAACGATTTAAAAAAGCAAACAGAACTATAGCAGAAAATTCCCCTTGCAACCTTATAGTTGGTTCAATATGCTGAGGAGCAATAAGTACAATTTACTATCTATAGCAAATCTTTTGGTCCTGCTGGCATGAAAAAAATAAGGGGGGGAGAATTACTTGACGGCATAGTAGAAATTAAAGATTTTCAACTCTCCCTGAACTTTCTGTTCAGTATACCAAGTTTAAAGAAGATAGAAACATTTATTTCATTTAGGGCAGCTGATGAGCAGCAATTACAAATATAGTTGATAACTTGAATAAACTTGTCTTATCACAGCTACGTAGGGAAAAAGCCAGGTCTTTAGTGCTTTAGACTTAGGAATAAAGCCAAACTTCAGGGAGAAGGGGGGTGTCTTAGGGCAGAAAAGGCATGCTTCCTAGCTCCATTAGATAACAATGTTTAAAGAAAGGGACTAGGACTGTGTGCGCACTCCATTTAACCTGGTAGGATGGGTAGATGTCCTTAGGAAAGGCAGCCACACAGATAACCTGGCCTTATGATTAATTTAATTGATGCCGCTCAAAAACAAGGAACTTTGATAAAAAGGTTTGTGAGACAAGATATTATTATGTAGAAACATGCAAAGAAAGGGGAGATGGATAGTAAAAGGATGAATGAGTCCTTTCAAGAGAGACCTATATGGTCAGCAGCTACTCCTCACCTTGCTGTTCTTCAAAAGCAGCCCAGAGCAAGTGCACCATCGGTTTCTTCGAGAGGTGTATCGTGCAGGCTCGGCTGTATACGTGCCTCACCCCTTCAATGCTGTGGTTCTCCATATACTTGGCATACTGCATTTGAAGACAGAGCAGAGACTGAATGATTCCCAGCTTACTCTGGGTTGCTAAATACTTGAGAGAACTATAAAATTCTTGTGTTTTAAACCCACTCAGCACCTTTATTGAACCATTAGACTAGTTTCTGTAAGGAAGGACGAAGAGAGGCAACGAAGTTGGCATATGCAGCTGTCAAATCTGGTTGCAAGCAGACCATCTCCTAATGCAACAGATATAGTTATACATGAACAACATTCAAACAAGAGTACAGAAGGTTAGTCACTGATCATCAATGTTTGCAAAGAGTAGAACTGGCATAGGAGAAACACCCCTTACCTTGATCCAAAATTCTTCATAGAGAGCACAGGAGATCACGCAACGCTCAAAAAGAACCACTACTCGTTCATGAGTTCCATTCTCAATCTCAAAGTCCAAATACTCCTTCCAGTTCTTCAGCTGCGTTTTCTCCAGAGGTTTAACATGAAAATAAGGTCGTTTTATCTGAAATGGACATGACATGGGAAGTCATGAAAACACACTTCATTTTACAGTTACTAAGAAGATGAATTATCTCAGCAAAACATTTTTTTTTGGTCATTTAGGCTTTGGTCATTCTTGAGATCTTTATTCTTTGTCTCTTGTTGCTTTAAATTACTCTCTCTGGGAATTAGGGAGCACATACATTTAATATTTTTAAAAATTATTACTTTCATAATTTTTTATATTATGCTCAAATAAACCCAGTTTGTTTGTTGAACATATCCTAACCAAATATATCCAATTTGGATATAGCTTTCTAAAAATAAAGGAAGAACAAGAATTAAAAAAAACATTGTGTAAAGTGAACATTGGCTCCTAGACATTTGTTGTTTTTCACTAGTAGACTGTAAGCATCCGTAAGGTGGCCAGTTTTAAGAATATAATCAGCTAAGCAAAATAAACAGCTTGTAGACAAGCAAGGAAGTCACTCAGAAATAAAAATGGTTTGTGTAGATACAACAAAACCATTAAGTCTAAAGAAGTACTAAACTTTCAGAATATTGTGTATGATGGCAAGGGAAAAAAATTCCAGTCATTTAGAAAAAAAAGATCTCTTCTACAAGACAATGTATGCCCAAAATCCTCTTTATCTTGTTTTGTGCTTACTCTGATCTAGCCAAATATTCTGAAAGTCAGAATTCTCTTCTTCCTTGAATTAAATGAAAAGCAGCATGCAAAGACATATCAAATAAATAAAACATGCTTGCTGTGAAACCTTGGCTTAGTAACTTAGCACACATAGTTATGAGGAGAAAGAACAGAAAAATATTGGACATTTAAGGATATAATTTTTAAATGAAATATGAAAATAATAAAGTATAATGATTCAAGAATACAAACTTGTCTTTACTGTAAAGCCATTCATTAATATGTGCTGACTGCAAGAAGCTAAAGGGAGTACAAAAGGATCTGGAACCACACCTAGACTACTGAAAATTATTTATAGCATTTATTTGTTCTGACTCGCCCATTTTGAAGGATCAGGAAGACCGCAATGAATGAATCTCATTCAAATGACACTTTGAAACTCCAAGCATGTCTTCAAGCAGAATTTATGCAAGAAGCTACAGACGTAATGACCTTGAAAAAAAAATACTACTAGGGCTGGAGATGCCAGGGATAACAAAATAAGAGTTGGAAGGGACCTTGGAAGTCTTCTAACCTAACCCTCTGTGCAGGCATGATCTTATTCCTATCTGAAATATGCCCTATATGGTAGACAACATTTTAAGGGAGAAAAATCACATTGGGGCTTTTGTGGTTATATGAAATCACATACGATAAATTGCAAGCAGTAGAAAATGAGCGAAGATGTATGCTCTTCCAACAAATACCCTATCTTTAATTAAATGCTTGAAGTGACCCTAAAATCATAGCATTTTACACAGTTTTCTAGCACTGGAAATCAGATGAGCATGTGCTGAACTGATTGATAGGTGGGTAAGGGATCCCTTACATGGGAAACTGATTTCTAACTTCTCTTACTATAGTTCTTATCAGCAGAAGACCTATCCCTGTCTGATGACTCTACCTCCATACATTTTAGGTCTATACTGTACTAAAGGCCATTTTGCTTGGAATTCTAGTACAAATGCATTTCTATGGAATAAAGACTGAAAAATTGGCCTAAAGCAACATAGGAAAACTTGGAAAAGTCCTGTATTTTCTTAAAATACTGAGAAAGAAGTGTGAATAAGGAGACAGTCTTTATTTACTATCCAGCTGTAACTTCTAATCTTGCAAAATGAGAACAGATATTATTTTTCCTCAGTGCCCTGTTTCAAATGCAGTTTAAAGTACAAAATGAAATACCTACATATATTCAACTTTGGGCAACCAAAAATATATTCAATGTTCTCATTAAATTGGCAGGTTTGTTAATTAGCAATGGTCAGATATTGTTTTATAAAGCCACAAACATGCAGCTGGCAACTTCCTTTATAAAAAAAATGTCAATGTACCATGTACCAATATACCATTGAAATGTACCAAGCAAATGGAAGAGCCAAGGCAATGTCCCATCAACTAAATAGCATGACATTGTTTTCACTCATGTGTAGAAAACAAAAACAGAAAAACCTGCAACTCTTTAAAGCTTCTGCAAAGCCACTAGCAAGGGGGCAGCCTAATTTCTAGAGGGAGTCTTTTATGCAATGCCATGAGAGAAATCGTATGAACCCTCAACTTTGACAAGATTATTCAAATGAACTTACCCCTTCTTCAAAAGTCCATCGCTTGCTAACTTCATGTTCATTGTGATTGAATATTTCTTGATGAATTTCAATGATTCTGTGACGCATGTTTTCTATTTCAGTGATAAGCTAAACCAGACATTGGAAGAGCATTAATAAAATTCAGGCAAGGAGGCATTTTTATTAGGCATTTCTGAAACAAATATCTACTTGGATGGGAATAATAATAATAATGATAATAAAAGAAACTATTCTAGTGGTACTGTGACTATGGTGTATTCCAATAGAACTGCTGGTATATATTACAGATTAATATGAACAAAACCCCTAAAACTAACAATCGAGCCTTTATCAAAATACCCAACCACACATAGAATGGAAACATCTATAACGCACTCTTAAGAATCCTAAAGAATAGTTAACTTGATAGTATTATGCTAGACCATTTGTCTGTCGCTAAAATATACTAATAGCAAAACAAAATGTAGTTTCTTTCTTTTGGGTCTTAAGTATGTTGCTATAAACGGTAAACCGTGGTTTTATAGCTTTACATGTTTTGGAAACCCAGCTTCATATAGTTTATTCAATATACAATATTAATATTGTACTGCAATATCTGAAACAGAGGTATGCAAAAAGATGGGGAAGATGTTTTGAACTTGGAACAAACTATCAGGTTCCAGATGTTCTGCTGATCAAAAATTATCCTGTAGTTTTACAACAATTGATCCAATAGGAAGAAAGAAAACAGTACAGTAAAATCAGTACACCCTTCCACCCAGAATGGGACAAATTGCCAGAGCCAACTTACTGTGGCCAATTCAACAAATCAATTTAAGTATTCAAAATAAATAAATAAAATATTTTCTTTAATGATTCTATTCCACCATTTCTTTGATATTGGTGTTGGCTATGGTGAGTTGGCTGTGGCGAATTGTCAGACCCCCTTCATTAATAAAAAGTATCCCATAGAAAGTAAGCGACACATAAGCGTAGGAGGTGCATACCTCCATCTAAAGGTACTTGGAAACTTTCAAATAAAAGTACCAAACTAGGCAGAATTATTAGCTTAAAGAGTTCTAGTTGTGTGTATGAGTGTGTTGAATACAGCTACATGAACTAGTTTACCAGAACAATGGAACTGTTTAAAAATATTTCCCTGAACTATTTCTACACTAGTGTTTGCAATTGATAAGTTTCTATATAAATATGTGGGAAAATGACAACCTGCTTAAAAGATTGTGCACTAAAGCAGGACACTAAAATCATTACATGACATTTCAGAAATATCCAAGAACACAGAACGTATGAGTAAATGCACATACATTGGTGTTTCTGTACAGAAACAATTTTCAGAATACAACTTTTAATAGCACTTTCAACAAAAACATTTCCAAACAGCTGACTAAATTATAAAAAACTGCTAGGCCCAGAGAAATTGTCTACTGTACATTCCAAACTGAAAACGTATTCAAAAATGCTGATTGCTTACTTTAGCAGGGTCAGTAATATCTTCAATTCCAGAAGGTTGGTTATCCCTAGGTGGTTCATCCTCAACATTATGATTATTGGCAGTGGAAGCAAGTTCTCTTCGCAGCTGAATAAATTGTTCAGTAGTAAGAATGTCTCGAGGCAGATTATTCTGTACATGATCTTTGAATCTGTAATATATCAACAAAAACAAGGAGTAGAAAATCTTACTATTTTGTTCATTTCTACGTAATATCAGGGTCAAGGTGAAATATTAGCTATTGCAAGCTTACTATACACACTCCAGAAGTTCATGCACAGTTGTGAACAGCTAAAAATAAAGCAAGTCAAACTTATACTCAGTGAAACAGCTCTGAAATCTCAAGGGACTTTTTTTTAATCTATGAAAATAATTGATTTTGCATCTTCCAGATTGCAAAGATTTATTTCTTCTATCTGAGCTAGAAAATGAAGTAATTGGACTCATTTGGTGTTTTAACTATAGGCAACCAAAGTTAGCAGGAGCCACTAATTGAACATGAATGCCTTAGAGTTCCAAGAATATAAAATGCAATTGAAATTGATAAAGAAAAAAAAATATTTAAATCAGAAAACATTAAAGAGAAGTTTAACAGATCACAAGACTGAATACATAATTGGTCTCTGCATGTAGCTTTATAGAAACTTTTCCTAAATGAAGCTATCATGTGGTGAATTATAATTCTAATTTTGCTCAACTGGTATGGTGTTAACTGCAGTATGCCATGTTATGGAAAGCTGCAGCTGCACAACTGACCATGTAGAAATACTTTAGAAAACTAACACATTATGTTTTTTAACATGCTGGCAAATTTAAATATGTGTCATATATAATGTAAGTTTTAATAATAAACAATGAATTATGTGGGATAGATGTAGTGTAATATCCATTTATCTAATGAGATTATTCATTCCTTCCTCATTCTCCCTGATTTTCCAACAAGTTTCCAAATCTGTTAGAATATTTGGGGTGGGGGGAGACTGGAATGCAAGAGTGCTTAGAAAAGCAAGGTATTAATTTCAATAATCTATGGGTGGACAAATATAGTTGGATATAACACTCTATTAGTCCTTCAGATCTGTCTATTGAGTCTAGAACAATTTAACCCTTCAAAAGATTTCAGAATAGGTCAGGCCAACCTGAGACCCTACATATTTTCTCATGTAATTTACAGCAAATATCACCCAAATCTATTCCCAGTGCCACTGCAATCTCATTACATAAAAGGGTGCATAACTTCGTTGGGTGCAATATTATCAAGTTCTCAAGAGCTCGCCCAAAAATTGATATGCAGGCTGCTTGAAGTAAATTTCATTAGAAACTAAAACACATTACAAGATAATAGATAATTTTTTATGCTTTCTTTGACAGAATAGGCTATTTTTTTATCTGTTTATCAGACCACAAAAATACTTAAGTGGTCCTGGATTAGCATCACATCCTATACCCAAGAGTCAAAAGTCTTACACAGTAACTTAACTGTTCTTAAAATTGTTTTGGTAATAGTAGTAAAACAGTACTCTTTTTGAGAAGCACAAAAGCATTTTAAAAATGGCTTCAATAATACTGTGTGAAAACATAGCTCATTTGTTGTTGTTGTTATATACTTTATTCATTAAACATGAAACTCAGCCAAATGAACATTCAAATATGCATTACAAATACCAGTGACTGGTGCTAATGGTTGATACGGTTTGCTGCCAGTGTCCTAGGTTTCAACCAAGTACCTTCTTAAAATATGTTTCGAGTAACACAGTTTTTTGCAGTTCTGCTGCTGTTATTGCAGGAAGCTGCAATTTGTGGATGTATCTTGTAAAATTCTTGGGCATGGTGCCAAGTGCCCCGATGACAATGGGTATCACTGTTACATGCTTCATCCATAGCCGTGTAGTTTCAATTGCCAGGTCGCGATATTTCATTATATTTTTAGTTCTTTTTCTTCTACTCTGGCATCTCCAGGAACAGCGATATCTGTACACTTCGGCCTCTACAAGCGCGATATCTGGCGTGTTGTGCTCCAAATGACGATCCGTTTGTATTCGAAAATCCCACAAGATCTTCACCTTCTCATTTTCAATAACTTTTTCCACTTTATGTTCCCATGACTTTCTGGATACAGGTAAATCATATTTTTTACATAATGACCAGTGGATTGATTTAGCAACTCGGTCATGTCGAGCTTTGTAATCAGTTTGTGTGATTTTGCTGCATTCACATATTAAATGTGAAACAGTTTTGACTGTGTTATTGCAAAGTCGGCAGTTTGGGTTATCAGTGGATTTTTGTATCTTCGCTTTCATGGCATTAGTTTGTAGTGCTTATTCTTGAGCAGCCAGTATTAAACCTTCCGTTTCTTTCTTGATAGTTCCCATCTTAAGCCATGTCCATGTCAAGTTGTCATCACATTTTCCTTCAATGTTTTTCAGTGCTGTCCATACAAAGTTTTGGTTTTCCATCTATTTAATCTGTCATCCAGCTGTTTTTCTTTATATTTTGCCTTTGTTTCTGTTGTTTTTATGCTGATCTCTGTTTTCACAGCCTGCAGCAATTTTTCTGTACTTTGGTTCACATAATCATTCAAACTTTGTTTTTCTTCTTCTACAGTTTGATGGATTTGCAATAGCCCCCTGTTCCCTATTTTTCTTGGCAGGTACAACCTGTCAATGTCACTTCATTGATGTAAAGCGTGGTACATATTCAAAGGTTTGCATGTTTTCCGGTCCAAGTTTTCCAGTTCAGCCAGAGTCCAGTTGATGATTCCAGCTGAGTAGCGTATCACTGGAACTGCTCATATATTTAATTATGTTTCCAGCATTCAGCTTTGTTTTTAATATTTTGCAGACCCTCCTGATGTATAATTATTATAATTATATAATTAATTATATTTATAATTATTTAATTTATATTTATAATTAATTATTTATTAATTAAATAATTATATAACAACAACAACAATAATAGTAATAGTAATTCATCCTATTATATATTTGGCCCACTTCACAGCGGTGAACATACCTAAAACTCTTACAATCCCCACAACAATCCTGAGAAGTGGATTGGCTGAGAGATTTTCAATTCAGGAAAAATCTACAGAACAACATTGTGGAGTCTGGTTCTCCTTGCAATGTTGCAAAAATATGAATGGAGAGAACTTCAAAAACACTCAGGAAAGGAATTCTGCCTTGTTCTGTAGGTCAGATTATATTGCCATGTAATTGTAAAAAATCTACCATACAATAACACTAACAGAAGAACGCTACACAAACAATTACAATCCATATACCTTTGGAAATGATGACTATATAGCTGTGTTGGAATCCCAAGAATGCGATCAAATATAGTAGTCACTGCTCTCAGGTTGCCTTCCTCGTTTTCCCAATTGATATACATTTCCCAGAGTTTGTCTGAGCGGAAATCTGTCCCTGCAGCCAGCACAGCATGCTCATATGTCCTAGGTTGTAAACATAATCAAATAAATTTTTCATTAGCACAAAATACATTACATAAATTAGCTATATTTTCTTCAGAAAAAAATGAAGCCCCTGAGACATGATTTTTGAGTATTTAGCACAGAATACCTTTTAGCTAATTAAAGCGGAATACAGTGCCTGCATTGTTTTTGACTGGAAAATTGGTAGTCTTACAACAGACAGCTTGTCTCAAATTTAATCCTTTTAGTATTTTGGAATTTCTTTCAGGCCCAATCAGGATATCAATGGCAAGCATAGATATGAGTTATAATCTGATGCTATATATTAGGCTATTAATTATTATTTTTAGAAAACCACATATATCATGCACTTTTAAATCTCCCATCTGGCCTTCAGTAAACTAATAAACAAGTACACTTCAGCCTTATACATCAACCATTTCTGAAGACCCTGCTATAAATGGCATTTCTAATTTCAAGCTTCTCCTTCAGGCCGAATACTAAGATGTCTTTTCATATGATCAAGTACAGCCCTAAGTACAATTCCATTACACAGGATATACACATTAAGATTCTTTTCAACCAACGTACCCTCTAATGGTCCCAATAGTTTCTACATCACTGGAATCCAGTGTTTCTTTGAGGAAATTTATATAATGAATCCAGAGATCAACGCTAAGAGGTATCGCCTGGAGTCCTCTCCGATACACCTACAAAGAGAACATTAAATAGTTATCCTTTGAACCTCTAGGTGAGTTATATGAGAGAGGCAACACTGTGTTATCCGGTGAACCTTACGAAATACTAATGTACTGGAATTTTGTTTAAATAATCTACCATTACCATTTGGGTGGAGGTTGGCTAGAACATGGCAATGCTCTGATCTCCACGTGCGGAGTCTTGATCTTCAAAGCGCAGCAGTCCCTGCATCTGACCAGGCTGTATGGGCAGGCTTTGGGGTACAGATCATAAGGCACAGACCCTTTAGAGCATCAAAGTCAGCGTCTGACCAAAAATGCAATAAGATGTAGCAATGGTGACCAGAAAAACCAACCACAGCGTTTGAATTTTGTGAATAAATGTATAATGTAAGTGACAGAAAAGCCCTGCCCTACTTGTTAAGCTGCAGTGTAATGCAGACGCTTGCACTGCAAAGCTTGACAAACTGTAGTAGAGGTTTAACGCACCTGCCAACAAAGAGAGAAGATATTAGCTCCAAAGGCCATAAGGAGTGACAAGTGTAAATAGAAAACCCTGAATGAAAGTGGCAGGTACTGGCAGCCAAAGAATTTCTTGCAACGCAGTAGTTTGGTCATCATTTGGCTCACAGAACCCAAGAGCAACAGCTGCATACCTCTATATACATACCTCATCTGACTGCTTCATGTTACTGTGCCGCTTCTCAAGGTCTGCATACTTCTTCCAGTAGCCATAACAATAAGGGTAATGTGTGAAAAAACTGTCAAAGGCTTTCCTTGCAGCTGGTAAATTGTTCTAGGAAAAAATACAAGGGATAGGATTTAGTAGTTTTAGATTGGAAGTAGATTGGATTGCAGTAGATTGGAAGGGGAGAAAAACCCCTTAATTTGTATCTGCCTTGCAATAGGAGTTCCCTCCCCTCAGTGAGTTGAAAGGAACTTCTCTGGTGGGATGCAGAAAAGGAACTAGGATGTGAAGATCTAAGCTTCATTTCTATAGCCTGCAGAAGGATGCAAAAAGGGAACTCCTCCGATGGGGTGCAGATGAGTCTTAAATCATGAAAATCTTAAGGCCCTTTCTGCACTCCACTAGACAACTTTCCTTCCGTGCATGGAAAAGAGCTGACATCATTCAGTGGAATGCAGAAAAGAAGCTTAAAATGTGAAGATCTAAGATCCCTTCTTTCTCCCCACTGGAAGAGTTCCTTTCTGTGGGTGGAGGACAGCTGAAATCCTTTCATGGGGTGCAGAAAAGCTTGAAATCATGGTGGGATCTTCACAATTTAATCTTATTTTTCTGCACCCCACAAAAGGATGTTAGTTATCCTCCATGCATGGAAGGGAACTCCTTTCGTGAGATGCAGAAACAAAGTTTACATCATGAAGATTCTAAGCTCCATTTCCGCACCTCAGAAGTTCTTATCTGTGTGCACAGGAGAGCTCCACAGGGTACAAAAAGGAAACTTTGATCTTCATGATTTTCACTGAGTAGGGAACTGAAAATAGTGATTTATGAGACTGAGGGCTTGTTCAGAAGTGAGAACAGGCTGCCAAGTCATGTGATGGGTGGTGGTGGTGGTGCTGTTGAAACATCTGATGACGACGAAGGCTGTAAAGCAACAATTCTGAAGCCACTGTAACTATGTAAATGACAGTCATTTTATCAGGTAAATTGAAGACTATTTGTATTACATTTTCTCTGAAGGAAATTTTATTATCAGCAACCAGATTCGATTAAGGTAGCATTAGACAAAATAATTCTTTTGATATTTTTTATTCTTGTTTTTGAAGAATATGGGACTGACTGGATTGCCCAGCTCAATCAAGAATTATCTGCTACCAAGATGCAAGGCTTTAATTGCTCTTCTAGATTCCACATGGTTCATCCAAACTACAATAAATCCTCACTTTATAACATTAATTAGGAAAGGAAGGAATATTTGCTATTGCCTATTGTCCAATAAATAAATATCAAAGAATATATATCATTTGAATTTATGTCATAAGAGCATTACATAAATAGGTGCAACTGACATGACTCACATTATTTGCATAAAAGTCTTCATACATAACATTCCAGTTATAACATTAAGGAAAAGTTAATATAAATTTAAATGCTTCTCTTGATCTACTGTGAATGCAAAGGACTAGTCTGCAGTTTCTGAGATGTCTGTACAGAAATCCTGAAGTTTGCTAAATATGGAGTTGGTTAAATCAAGCTCTCATTGTATTTTAAAATATACATGATAATATTTCATTATTACAAATATTAGACAGCTTTAGTATCCTATTTTCACATATGCGATGAAGTGGATTAGCTAAAAACTTTAAGCATATTAAACAAACATGTATCAAAAAAGACCTTGAAACTTCAACAGATATTCTTGGGATTCATAAAACATATTGTAGCCGTACTCCTAATTTCTATAGTTTTGCACTGTGCAAAATTCTTTTTTTAAACCCATTAAAATCTTAAAATGTACATATTTCTAAAACTATGGGGTTTTTTTCACTTCCAAACATTTTACACAAAAAAAGCCCATGCAGGTTTTCAGGGACAGCAATTGTTTAACTTAACACTTGCATCTCCAACACCTACATATAGAAACTTATTATCTCTTCATACATATGGGAATATTTTATTTCAGTTCAGTTTTTCCGAGTTACAAATAAAGATAGTTGAACTCCAACAGCCAGAGAGTTAATGCATATATCCTAAGAGCCACAGGCAGAGAGCACTGTCCACTCCACATTTAATGGTCCATTCACTATTGTCTTCCCTTTCTCCACACTTCTAAATTACCTTACCCATATCATTATTGTCACTACTACCACTGCTACTGCTGCCACTCCCATTGTCCTTCCATATCTTTGCTATTTATAGACATTAACATTTTGCCTCCTAAAAGTTTTCCTACACTCCAATAAACTGAAAGAGCTACAGCCACTGCCCTTATTTTGCCTGTAAAACTGCTGCTCTAGGACCCTTCTCCATACTCTCTATACAAAAGAAATCTATCAAAAGAATTTTTGAACGAATACTGAGAATATTTTAAGAATGCTAGAACGTTCATTCATAATGTAGCGGAATGGAAAAAAATCATACATTAAAGATTATCTTATGGGAAAATGATGGGAAGAAGGGAAGAAAATAAATATTTTGAAATTGAAGAGCCCTCAGTTGTGTATTAATTTTCCACTCAATTCATCCATTTCTTACATGTGGGACACAAAGCATTTTAAAATATTGAATGTGATATATTAACATGACTTCACTGAAACTGAGGGATAATTGCTATAAGCATGGCCCAAAATATATAATTACTTACCTCTTGTTCTACAAACTGAAGGAGGTAAACCCAGCCTGTAAAATCTTGTGGGTTAGTTTCAACTATTTTCCAAAACTTGTCAAAGTCAGCAGGGAATGAATTTTCAGGATCAGATGTCTTTACAGTTTCTGTATCTGGTATTTCAGTGTCCTGAACAGTCTCTTCCTGGGAATTGGCAGCAGGAGAATTGTCGGGGGACTGCTCCATCTCCATGACACTCATGATCTCTGTGCTAAAGTCAGCTGGTTGCTCATTCTTGGCTTCAGTGTCCTTACCCATGTTCTCACTTTTCAAGTTGCTGTTGTCTTCTATATGCTCTGAACTCTGCATAGCGACTGACACCTTTTTACCTTTATGAAATAATCTGTAAATGCAGAAAACGATTAGCATCAGTACTGTCTATTGAATTTTCATTAAACAGTATAGGCATCTGACTTTTTAAAATAAAGGTAACATTTGAGAAGTTTAAATAATTAAAAGTTAAAGCTGAATAAATGAGTCTTTCTAACATATAGATTGACAGCAAAAGTATAAGGCAAATATCAGAGTAAAAACAATTTCCCAACCCATTTTATCCCAATTAAACTACCCTGATTAATAAATGGCTAAAATTCTAATAATGAATAATTCTAAACAATAATTCATTAGTTTAGAATAAAATTCTAAACAATAATGAATAATTAACATACTATTTTAGCATACCTCTTCTGCACAAATTACAAGAAAAAGAAAATATTTGCATTGTATTTCATAAATTTAAATATCCAAATAAAGTACTATATTAATATATCTGGTCATTTCCCATTAATCTCTTCAGAATTCCAACTGAGAAGCCAAATATTTTTATATAAGCATCACCTTCTCTAGTTTCAATTACCAATCAAAACAAATGAATAAATTATTATTTTGATCCTGCTTCCTCACAGTCATAGTTCCACTGAAGCAAATTCCAAAAAATTCAAATGAATGGGGAGGGAGGGAAAGGTGGCAACTGAGCCTGTCATACCAATCATTGGCAGTGGCTTTCTTAGCAAAGTAAGATACAAAGGGCTAAATCAGTTGCCCTAACCTACAATTAAAAAGTGGCAAGTCCAATCACATCTCACTCCTTAAAGATCATGCATCAGCTCTGATAATCCCTACCTGGTACACAAAAATTCAAGGGAAGCATTACCTGCTAATTTCAGTCAAGTTGGAACTACTTAATGCACTTTGATGTGGTATCCTCCCACAATGCTTCTGAGTTTGTTGATACTAGTTAACAACTATAATCAAGATCTTTCTAGATGACAAATAGAGAAGTCTATAATTGGGATAATAGAATTATCTAAATTCCCAAAGTCATTCCGGAGGAAATGGATTTTAAGTATAACACTTTTAGAACACAAAGAAACCCAAAAGCTTTTTAACATGTCTGTGTTTGCAGAGAAGTACTTGGTACTGAAAACATACATAACCAAGCTGAATGGAAATACACACAGCTTGGTTATATATATTTTCAGTACCAAGTACCTCTCTGCAGACACAGACATATTAAAAAGCTTTTGGACCCCAAGGATACAGATTTACACATACACACACACATACTCACTACATACACACATATGCATGTATATTATATCTTTGTATAGTATGTGTGTGTAAATCTGAGGGGTTGCTTTCTGAGTCTTCCTGCAGGGTTTCCTTATCCAAACTTGGTAACATCATCATATAAAAAATCTGTCAAGATATAGTTACAAGGGAATTCAGACAGTGAACCTATTCACTACAACTGAGATTTATAGGAAATTAGCTTTGCCTTTTAGAGCAAAGATTTGGCTATTCAAAGGCTTTCCTCTCAATTCCTCCGAAATAGGAAAAATGTAAAATATTCATGGTTCACAGAAAAGATATAATACAAGTAACCATAATTCTCCTTACAATTCTCAAAATATTTGTTGTGCATTAGAAGTAAAACAACCATTTTTTGAATTGCATCCAGAAGCTGATATGAGGTGTAAGAGAAAGCAAGAATAGTAAATGAATAATATAAGTTTCTTCTTTCCCTTCACAAAGCCCATTTTATTCCAGATGTCTTTCAAAACGCCTAGTTCATTTGTAAGACACTTTAGGCATCTGCAGCTGAAAACTCTTAACTCTCCAATATAGTTACCTTTTCAGTGGCAAACCCACCAGCCACAACGCCCTTTCTCCTGTGTGTTCCTTACTGTAACTTTGATCGTTGAAAACTGTAGCGAGGCGTTTAGAAAAATAATGTATCCGACCACTCTTAATTAGGTGGAGCGATGCAAGTATAATTAGGCCTCTTTTTTTCATCATGCCCTCAACCAGCTTTTTCCGCAAAAGCTCCTTCTTTTTTTTAAAGCGTGAGAGTTCACAGCCCGAAAGCCACATGGCTGGAGATCAACCCGCGTGATTAGATAGAGGTAGGTAGGTCCAACACACACACACAAACACAGACACCGAAAAGCGCCAATTCGGGCAAAGCAAAGCAATCCTAGTCAAGAGAGAAATATGGCTGGGAGAAAGTCGCTATATAGGCGGGACTCCTTGACTGAAGCTCCGCCGGTCATTCCGTCCCGGGGCCGAGTGAGAAAAAGATTAAGAGCCGGCCGCCCTCCGGGTATAACGACGCCAGCAAATTCCTTCTTTGGTTCGCATTGCTTCTTCCACCAAAGAGTAGCTGAGAAAAGAGGTGTCCCCCCCCCCACCCACCCACCACACACCCACCCACCACACACACACACACACACAC